AGTTCATTTAGAACATAACCATGATATGAGTCCTACAAAGTCAAGAATATTTCGTTGCTATAGACAATTAACTCCTCAAATGGCGAGACAACTAGCAATAAATGATGTTGCCGGAATACCGGTTAACAAAAGTTTCAACTCGGCGGTTGTTCAAGCGGGTGGATATGATCAATTGCCTTTTATTGAGAAGGATTGCCGGAATTTCGTAGATAAAATTCGCCAACTTCGATTAGGAAGTGGAGATGCAATGGCAATCCAAGGGTTTTTTGCAAGAATGCAATCGCAATGTCCCGGATTTTTTGTTACCGTTGATTTAGATGAGGAGTCAAGGTTGAAAAATGTGTTTTGGGCCGATAATCGTTGTAGATATGCTTATAAAGACTTTGGGGATGTCATCACATTTGACACCACTTATCTAACTAATCGCTATGACATGCCATTTGCACCATTTGTCGGTGGTAATCATCATGGCCAATCCATATTGTTAGGTTGTGGATTAATTTCTAGCGAAGACACGGAAACATTTGTTTGGCTTTTTAGAGCATGGCTCGATTGTATGGGTAATTGTGCTCCAAAGGGAATTATAACCGACCAAGATCGTGCAATGCAAAATGCCATACAAATTGTTCTTCCAAACACGAGACATCGTTGGTGTCTATGGCACATAATGAAGAAGCTACCCGAAAAAATGGGAGGACGTAACGAAAAAGAAGACATAATGAATGCTATACACGAAGTGGTTTATGATTCTCAGTTCATACAAGACTTTGAACGTGGCTGGCCAGCAATGGTACAAAGGTATATCTAGCAAATTAGGTCCAGACAAACACTGTCTGTATACAGACAACAACTTTCTGTTTGTAGACAACTAATGATTATTGTATAACACTAATGATTATTGTAACAGGCATTCCCTTGAAGAAGATGAATGGATTCAAGTGATGTACAATGAAAGACACCGTTGGGTTCCTTGTTACTTGAAGCCTACATTTTGGGCAGGTATGTCTACAACCCAACGAAGTGAAAGCATGAACGCGTTTTTTGATGAGTTTGTGCACTCCAAAACTAGTTTGAAGCAATTTGTGGAGCAGTATGAACGTGCATTGAGAGCAAAAGTGGAAAAAGAGTTTCAAGCAGATGCTTATTCATTTTCCAAGATGATTCCATGTGTTACCACATTTGCAATGGAAAAACAGTTTCAATGCGTTTACACACTTGCAAAGTTCAAGGAGTTTCAAAATGAAGTGATTGGTAAGGTGTATTGTGACCTCTTCCATTGCGATGAAGGAAATACATTTCATGTCCAAGAGCATATAATGGTAAATGACTTTCGAAGGACTGTGAAGTTCATTGTTGAGTATGATTCATGATGTGAGTTTTCTCGCACTTAAAAAGATTGTAATATAGTGGTGTAAGTACGAGTATCGTCTCCACAGGGACGGACAAAAGGGAATCAAGAATTAATTAAATTCAGCGATTAAAAATAAAATAAAATAAAAGCGTCGTGCGAGATTGGTTGGTTTGGAAAATAAAACTAATGCGAACAATTAAACTAGGGGGTTCTTTCTAATTAATGACGGAGGGAACAGGGATCGATTCCGGGGTAACCAGATTTCTGGCAGATCAGGCCTATTTACATGAAATTAATTTAATTGAGCCTAGCTAATCATTACTAAGTTCTTACCGCTCTCGCGGCGTAGAGTACAATACTTTAGGGGACCAGGCTGATCTCTCATGCGACAGGATCCTAAATTATTGTCAAGACGAGCGAGCTTACGGCCCCTTAATCGCTACTAATCTCTTAGCGAACGATTAAGTGTGTGTGAATGTGTCTTAGAACAAATTAGATCTCTCTTAATTTATTCTACATGCAATTGTAATTCTAGTCGCGATTCTAGGTTACAAAAGATATCAATTAAATTATTCAAACACAAATTAAACGGCATTCATGCAATTAAACCGACAAGAATCTTGCCATACATCATGATTAACCCCTTCATCAATCCCAAATCCCTAATTAAAACTACTCACAATTCATAATTGAAGAATCAATAGAATTGGAATAAAAAGAATTAATTGTCATTAATTAAAAAGGTGGAACTTACAAAGAATCCCAAAAGATTGATGAACAAGGCTGAAAAACCCTCTATTTACAGGCTGTTTAAATAGAAAAATCGGGTGAAATTTGAGCTGAATTAGGATTTTCGGAGCCAGACACGATGCCAGGCACGATCGTGCCTTCGATCGTGTCTCCGGAGCAAAAACGCGCATTTTAGGCAGGGTGGGTCACAACGGTGGAACAACAAAGGTTTGATAAATTGTGTCAAACATTTGAAGCACTTGCAAACACAATTGCGGATGATGAGGAGAGATACAAAAGCGTAATGATTTGGTTGGAATCCCAATTACGTGAGTATAGTGCACCCCGTAGCCATCCATCTTCTATTTGTGGTATGATTACACAAGTGCCGGAGATAACAACAATGGTACAAGATGGCCGCCACATACAACAAATTTTTGATCCAAAATGTTCAAAACGTAAAGGTGCTCCAAGAAAAAATAGGCAAAAGGGACCCCTTGAAAAGGGAAGTAAGAAACAAAAGGTTAGTAAATACTTTTTCCAGACACTAGTTGTCTGTATACAGACATTAGTTATCCATGTACAGATAGAAATATCCATGCACAGACATTAGTTATCCATGTATACAGATTAGTAAATACTTTTTCCAGACACTAGTCGTCGTATTTTTATATTGTGCTCACATTTACCCCTTTTAATACTCATGTTTCTTTATGTTCATATGTATAGGGAAAGAAGGCGAAGCAAAATGGTGTTGAGGGCAATGCAAATGGATCCAAAGGAAATGTTGTTGAAACTACGATGCCAATCACATTCAATGATGATTTAGACTTGAATCTTCATTTGTTTTGAATTAATGTTGTGTTTCGGACATGTTTTGACCTCCATGTTAATTGAATGATGGCGATGACTATGTAATTATTTGAATTTAAACATCATATTTTTTTTGTGGACAATGAATATAAACTAAAAATATTGTACAAAAGTAGTGTATTGTACCAAACAATATTGTACAAAAATGGACATTGTTCATCCAAAAAAAATATTGGTACTTTGATGGGTACTTCGTTCGTTTCCTTGTTTCTTCATTGTGTAATTCTTCACGCATCAATGCAGTTATACCGCCCATTGTGTTTTCCTCAACGACTTCATCCCATTCCAAATTCACAAATGGGGCAAGTCGTGTTAGGTCTGTGTAGTCCTCTCTTTCAAACTACACAAGAAGGGAGCTATATGAAATGTTTGTATAAAGACAATAACGTCATATGCACCATTTGAAGTGCAAGTACACACACCTCGTCTATGCGCAATAATGGGTGTGGAGGACTCTCACATGGTTCAAACAAATCACGATGTGATACATCTTCAGGCCTTAACTTCAACTTAAAAAAGAGGTACACATAATAAATAATAAATAATTGAGGGCAATAGAATATGTTATGATTTGATCAAACTTACTTCACTACATACATTTGTGATAATGAAGTCTGCACTATCACAATTTCGCTGCAAATTCAAAAGTCACAAAATTGAATACAGAATCCGTACAATAATACACAATAACATCCACAAATTCTCCAATTATATCACAGTGAGATTCATACATTACACTCAACGTGTGCATTGTGACCATCAACATCCATATCCTCATGACTATGCCCCTCGCATGTTGCCCCCACCACATTAGCGTCATTCTTCACAAACATATACACAAGTGTAAGCAACACGTAAAAGAAATTACTTTAAACGTCAAATAAACAAGACGGCTTTATTATATATATATATATATATATATATATATATATATATATATATATATATATATATATATATATATATATATATATATATATATATAACCTGATCACCCTCCCCGTGAACATCAACATCAGGAACATCAACGGCCTACACACACAAACTTGTAATCATCATAAAAAATTGTAACCAGAGTACAATAAAAGCAATGATAACAAAGTTGCAACTACATACCTTTTTTTCGCCATGTTGAAGGGCTTGCAACAAGTAGTCCTTCAAATTAGAAATGCTATCTTCTATTCCCTTAAGCCTCTTTTCGACATTTTGAGAGATTGTTTGTTCTATCCCCTTAAGCCTCATTTCTACACTATCAATAAGTGTTTCTTGTATCCCCCTTGCCGTTTTTTCCACCACTTCAACCCTCAATCCAAGCTTATTAATTTCATCAATAACTTTCTTGGATAATGTCTCATAATCTTCATCAATATCCTGTGGCAAGGTTAAGAATTTAAAACAATGAGTAAATTCATGTATAAAGACAAATGGACAGTGAGTGAATTCCTGTATACAGACGAATGGAGTTAGAAAATTCCTGTATACAGACAAATGGGAGGTGAGTAAATTCTTATACAAAGCTCAATGGACAGTGAGTAAATTCTTGTATACAGACAAATGGAGTGAGTAAATTCCTGTATACAGATGAATGGAAAGTGACTAAATTCCTCTATACAGACAAATGGGAGGTGAGTAAATTCTTATACAAAGCCCAATGGACAGTGAGTAAATTCCGGTATACAGACAAATGGAGTGAGTAAATTCCTGTATACAGACAAATGAGCGGTGAGTAAATTCTTGTACAAAGACCAATGGTCAGTGAGTAAATTCCTGTATACAGACAAATGAAGTTGGAAAATTCATGTATACATACAATTCAGCAGTGAGTAAATTCTTGTACAAAAGCCAATGGTCAGTGAGTAAATTCCTGTATACAGACAAATGAAGTTGGAACATTCATGTATACATACAAATGGACAGTGAGTGAATTCCTGTATACGGACAAATGGAAGCTAAGTAAATTCTTATATATAGACAAATGGACAATGAGTACATTACCGCATGCACACAAATGGACAGTAAGAACTTCACATATATAGACAAAAGGACAGTGACTCAAAGCAAATTTCATGACTAATGCACCCAATATATAGTTGATTTAATGCGTTACAAATAAGTATTTTGATAGATTAAAAATACAAGTGTTGATTACCGATTCATAAGCTTCGTTCAAATCAACTTGAACCTCCTCATGTTCATCTTCGTGAGAATCAGCTTCATCCTCTTCCTCATGTTCATCTTTAACTTCATCATCTTCACTTTCTTGGGCGTCATCATCTTTGAAAACTTCATCATAAATTGAAGAAGCATGATAGAATCCATCTGCCTTCCAATTGAGAAAGGGAATTTCTGAATTTCCTACCCGTTGTGCAAAGGCACTACCAAGGGCTGGCAAAGATTCATATGCCCAAACCTACACATTAAAAGTATATGATTAGAAGGAATATATAATCATTGTTAATGCAAGTAATGGAAAAAAGGATTACAAATAAATATTACCTGTAGCACTTGGGGAAAGCCATAGAGACTGAACCTCGCAAACTTGAAATTGGGATTTTTAGCCCTCGATTTATTATACTTTCTCGGCTGACCAACCATCAAATCCTTCATGTGAGTAATTGTCACATTATAAGATTCTAGAGCCCAAGGATAAGCCTTGAAAATTTCAAAATCATCAACTCTTTTCAACTCTTGAAGACTAATGGTCGTGTTCTTGTCTCGGGCTAGAAGAACACAATTAACAAAAAAGAGAGAGGCCAGCTTCACACCTTCAAACACATCACCTTTTTTCTTTGGCCTTAACTGTAACACCGCTCCCAATTTAAACTTGGATTTATTAATCCATTGATATTAAAATCTGAGTGAAAGTACAAATACTAATTTCAATGAGGAAAATTAGTTAAAGTCATGATTATATATTCACTTTGAAAACTAGTTACAAGTATATTAATCATACTAGAAATGATTAATGGACTAAATTAATACCGACAATTAAATTGTGGGTCGGACTCCAAACATGGGGAGGGACTAACTAATATATTCTTGGACCAAGATAAATTAAATAAAAACCCAAGGATAAGGGAGTAAGTACAATATTATTGTTTGGGCCAAATAAAAGGTAAGGGAATAAGACGAGAGACCATTTGAGTCCACTTACAAAAACAAATAGAAATGTAAAGGGGTTTGAGCCCGGGATATTGGAGGGGACTATCCAATACATTTTAGGACCGACCTACTATGGTCTACTAGCCTAAAATGATATAAATAAATGAATAAAAGTCATTTAGGCCCAACCGAGATACATCAAGTAACCAAAGTGGCGTTCTAGCCCAAATTTACCGAAAATAGCAAGTATAAGGGAGAAAAGTTCCCTACACTTTAATTCGGGGTATCCCACATAAGATGTAACTCATAATAAACGGGAGGATTAATTTGTAAATAGCTTCGGGATGGATTAAATAAAAGGGAGACAGTCCATTACACAACACAACCCATTTTAGCCCAAACCTTCTAATTATAGAAAGGATAAGGGGTAGGCTATCCTCCTCTCATTTGGAGAAGCATCCTACGCCTCATAGAGAGGGGAGAGAGCTCACAAGAAGCTCCACACGTTCTTTGAGCAAGGAGGAAGAAAGAGGGGGATTCCGGGAAGAAGAAAGCTCGATTCTAGGTAACCGAATGCTAATCCCGTTCAAACTAGTTATTTACCTTGTTTTGTGAATATGATTTTTAAGAAATCATATGTGGGATTAATGAGGATGTTCTACACGTTTAAAAGTGTAGAAATATGATATAAAGTGTTGGTAATTAACTTAGAAGGGTTCTGGAATCGATAGGAATCGAAATCGCCGGAAACCGCCACTTCTAGGTGCTGTTTTCGTGCAGCAGAACCCGAAAGCCGGGCAGCTTTTGCAAAAGCCGGGAGGCTTTTGTCCTCTGCCAGCCAAGGTGGATTCAGATCATTCCCGATCGAAGGTTTAACGACGGGGCTTCAATAGGCAACCTTGCTGGACTTATTTAAGGTGAGGATGGCTGACTATATTGTCTATAACTCGTGAGTTGAGCATGAGATTACCTAAGTAATCAAATTATGATTTTGATGGAATTAAATGATATACTCCAATGTGAATAAATGTGTTGCTATGTGGTGATACAAATTGATACATGATATTACTAAGGTGGATAAGCAAAGGCATTATGCATGAGGGGAGAAATCCTTGAAATATATTAATTATTGAATTGATATAGAAGATTAGCATGATATAGACAAATGTTGATAAATGTGTGATTCCATAAGATCTTAAAAGGAATATATGGATACCTATGTGGATAGGCAAAATGATTTGTTGGTCCCAGTTTATGCAGACTAACGATCAACTAGATGGTATTCAACGATTAAACAGAAGAAAAGAAGATCTGATAATGATAAGGCAATATCGAGAACAGAGAAATTCTTCTTCTAGTTTATCGAGAACTATTTGGGCAGCGTAAGGCTTAAGTGTATTGATCAATTCGATTCTCTTTGGTACCTGTACACAAGGCACGTATTTATAGGCGCTGTACAGGTTACCGATTTAGGTAAACCTTGGAAGTTGGGCCAAGGCCTTTTTGGGCCTTATTCCCTTTACCTTATTTATTACATATTAATACTAATCTAATACCATAAATGGTATAACTAGTCTACTTTATTTAAACAAGACATTACAGACAAACTTGACCCACAATAAAAGTTCTAACAATCTCCCCCTTTGTGGTCAAGTGCCGTCTTGCTGGGTTTCTTCACTTCTGAGCTTTGTAATAGTTCTTTCTGAGATTAAGTGCATGCTCATAGTTTCTGAGTGAGTTTCTTTTATCAAGTTGCTTTTCAATGGCCTGTAGGATGTTGTCAATTCTGTGTGCTTCCTTTAATTCAGCATCTGTTGCATCTGCATACTGTTGCTGTCTTTCTTTGAATGCTTCTCTGATCGGTTGCAGTTTTTCTTTCACAATCTTCAGGGTTCCGTCACAGTATTTGTTAATTTCATCAATGAATAGCATACGTTTCTCACCATTGTGATTCAGATAGATAAGCGTGATTGGGCTATCAAAGATGTAATACTCAGGAAAGTCTTCCAATTCTTGTCCATACAGCTTTGGTCTTGTGAGGTTCGTCTTTGGCATGTTTGTTTCAAGAGCCATCTGAAGATCATGAGAGGCAAAGAATTTGATTTGTCTGATCATAAACCGCTTGAGTGCATCCAGCCCATCTTGTGTAATTTTGTCACGAATGCCTGGAATTTCCTGGAATGCAAGATACATCTGATAGATGTCGTCCATCTTTAGCATGTAGAGATCATTTTCCTTGCACGTGAATACCGTTCCGTCAGAGCGCTGAAGATGGTAGACAGAGAGTTTGATATCTTGAAAGTTGGTTTCAGTCACATTGAGAACAGCCCAGATAGGGTCCTTGGCTGTTTGAAGTTCGTGTTGCCAGACTTCTCTCTGTTTTCCCATATAGTGATGACTAAGTAGAAATAGCTGTCCGCCCTTGTTTTGTCCTCGTAGATGGTTAAGACCACAGATTTTCAGTTCATCCAGTTCTCTGACCTTATCCTCTTTTCGCCAGATGTTTTCTCTGATTTCCTCTTGAAAGGGGGCGTTGATGTCGATCTTTTCCCAGGGCTTCTCATTTCTGGGCATTTGAGCCGCTGTTTGTCTAATGATTGACTCAAGCTCCTTGGGTGGTGTCTCATAGTTTTCTCCCTCCTTGAGTTCATCTTGATCAAGTAGAATCACATCAGTAGCACAGTTGACTAAGAGATCTCTGAGATATGCTCTTCGCTGTGATTCATCTACATCTGCCCAGAGTTCAGACCATTTGTTGTGCACCAGCATTTCCTCAAGTTCATTGTGCATTTGATCATTGTAGTAGCTGGAGGGATCCTGCTGCTGCTGTGGCGATATGTCTGGCGTAGCATCGGGATCCTGGTGAGACTTGCAGGGATCCTCAATTATCTCAACACGATGCTCTTGCGCAGAGTCCAGACCTCTATACTTCGTTACATGCGGCCAATCCTCCCTTGGCTGAGAAAGTGAAACATCGGAATCCTCAGGATTGCCCGTTGTCATCAGTTTCGAACTAGGTTCTAACTGATGGCCTGAGTAAGAAGATGTACTCGTGGTAGCATCATCAGGACTTCCATTCCGTCCTTGGTTAACATCTATAGGAGATGCACCTCGGGATGTTATGTCTAGCTTGACCATGCTAGAGAGAGTGGCAAGGGATTTATGGCTGGCTGAAGTAGTGGGTTGCTCATTGGTAGAGGTGGAGGGTTGGTTTGGCTTTGAGGGTTGGCTGGTAGAAGCAACATGCTCAAGTATCCGCGGGCGCTTGTTCTCCCCCTCATGAGAACCCGAATCATCAGGATCCTCATGTGAACGTTTAGCGCCAAGGAGACTGTCACGGCATGTGTTCTGTGTATCTAGAGCATGGAGAAGGGATTTTTGAAGAGGGGTGAGGTTGCCTTCTTCCACGTCTAGTATACGGTCGTAGATCTCAGCTACAAGATCCTCGAAGGGTACGGTTGTTAGGTTGGGTTTGGTCGTTGTAGGGGAGAATACTAGTTCTGTATCCTGGGTTCCCCTTGATGTGGATGGTTGTTGGTTTTCTATGGCTAAGGGTTTGGAAACAGGTATGGAAATGGTTGGGGGCTGTGTTGTCTGGGGTTTGGATGGTATATTCTGAACAACTGGGGTACTTCCAGAGTCTTGTGCATTAGCGGTTATTGCTTCATGCACCCATGGCTTAATGGTAGACTCTAGAAAGCTATTCAGATATACGAGAATGTCTTCGGGGATAATGGTTCCAGTTACAGGGGTTGTAGCTGTTGTCACAGCATCAGTGAAGATGGCTGATGTGTGGCCTGCGTTCAATGATCGAGGCATTGTTGGCGTAGCAGGGCTTCCGACCATCATAGTTTGCACTCCGGTCGTTGCATTCAGGGTGAGTGCACCTGTATGTGCAGTGAATAGTGTAGGTGTCCTAGAAAAATATGAAAATGTAGGAATGGTGACACCTAGACTCGATGTGATAGAACGGATGGGGGTAGTGGTCCGGGGCTGTTGACCACTAAGTCTCTCAGCAGATTCGGAAGGAATCAGTGAGGTCGGTGTAAGCTCCCCTTGAGTTATTGAAACTCCAGTCTGTTGGGAGACTGGAGAGTGGATGGGAGATGGCTGTGCATGCGCAGTTGAACCAGATGCTGCGACTTCTACCCGGGAACTGACAGGGTCAGCTCCTGCTCCTAGGGGCGTGGTTCGGTCTATGGTGACAAAGGTGTCGCAGTCATCGTATAGTGCCAGCTCCTCCTCCACTGCACTTTTCTTTCTGAGCCTCTTCTTAGGCTGTGATGATGCAGATTTGTCGCTGTTGTGTTTGGAGCGCTGCTCACTGATGACAATGCCCTTAAGTGGTCGGGACATGTGAGCAGCCTCTTCATTGTCCGATGAGGAGTCGGAGTCTATCGGAATGGCTCTCTTTCCGGCTCTTTTCCTGTTGCTGATCAGGACTCCCTCCATGTCATCATCATCATCATCATCTGCATCATTATCATCATCATTCCTCTCCTTTCCCTTGGCCATGCTATCGGAGGCCTCACCACCAGCCTTATTAGAAGGGGCCTGGCTTGATGGTTCATCGGCAGTGTCCTCAGCATTGATACGGTGGCCCTC